AGGAATCTAGAAAAAGCATTTTCCTCTTTCTTTAATGAAAATTGGCTTTGAAATGCAATTTTTTTTGGAGAACAAGTGATTTTTTATTCCTTCTTAGCAATCAATGTTTGTATTTTATCAATGAACATATAATTTGTTTTGCTCTCCGATGACAGTATAGTAGGGGATGGTTTGAAATGTCACTAGACATGTTTTCAAAATTTATGCTTGTTTTTGGGACCTATAAAAGGGTGGGGGTGACATTGTCCTATAAAATAACCCCACCACTACCACGGTAATTGGCAAAGGGACATCTGATTTAAATTTTTCGGTCCTGTGAGATCCTTGTTTTGTTTTTAAAATTTGTTTTATTCCCCCGAAATACGGACATATTTTGTTAAAGTCTTGGATTTATGTCTTGGTAGGCATGTTTTATTTGAGACTTATGATTACCCTCAATGGGTCAACTGGATAGAAATATCAATAACCCAGGTTAAGAGCATTGGATGCGGTATGTAGGGTCCTAAGATATTTGAAAGGAATTATAGATCATGACCTACATAATGTCGATGATCCGCTGTATTATAAGGTACAATGATGGTTTCTGGATTCTTATGAATCTATGACTTTCAGATGTATCTCCACTTGTGCTGGGGGTGTATGGATTCCAAAATGAATATTTGTATATCTAAATGATTGGAGAAAATTGCTTTGGAACCCAGTGTGAAGGAGGCTAAGTGGCTAAGGACTCTATGGTAGACGTACCACTTGTTCAAAGCCCATTCCTACAGTCTCATACAGTGTGACTGTGAAGTTTTTGTATACTGAGTGAATGGTTAGGGATTTATTTTTGGCAAATCCAGTTATACTCGTTTGAAGCACAGTCGATTGAGACTTATGCTTGAGATAGAGTCATAGTAGTACTCCATATCTATTTTACCCAAGACTTGGAAGAATATTAATAAAAGACCTTGCAAGGTACCAAGTCTAGAAGAAAGCTAGAGGGATGGGATTGAGTCAAGTATATTATGCGACATGGTGATGGGAACCCTACCTAAGATAAGGAGATCCCAAGTCCAAGGTTCAAAGGAGAAAACAAGTCGCTCTTGTGATGTCTGGTGTATGATGGTACCATAAAATAATATTTTATGGAAACTTCTAAAAAAATTTATCCATCCTTGGCTATGTGGTACAATTTATCGCAAAGTATCAAGAGGTTGAGCTTCACTCTTAATGATTCTATTTGCCTAGATGATGTAAGGCTCATGCTGAGGTGTCGCACTGCAGGACATCTTCTATGGGAAGTGGAAGTGGAGGCTGTTTCCTATGGGAATTGAGCATTATCTAGAATGCTCATGAAAACCCGGATCAGCGCAGGGCCTTTAAATGCGCAAGCCTTTTAAAAAACCACATTATTTGAAAGAGAAAGCGTTATGTGAGAGGCTTATTGGCTTATTAATATATGATATAGTTCAAGGTGTTTCCACTCACTATCTTAATAAGCGTTCTGCATAATATTATGTGGAGGTTCAAGTCTTTAAGATATATTCACTTATACATTCGTCTTTTCTGATATATTTGGATAGAGTTCGTGTTATTTTGAAATAGGCGGGAGATTATTAGTTTTTTTGACATAAAATGTTTCAAAACAACTATTTAAATTGTGCTGGTCTATTTTGTTAGTGTCAACCTTTGGTCTACCAGCTTTTGCAAAAACTTTTACTTAATATTTCCACGTGGCAACTCAATATCCCCTATTTAAGTATGTGAGGCATCTTTATAAGAGGTGTTATCATTTTAAAAGGTCCCTCTCATGCTATACTCTCGCTCTCACATAAAAGGGCCTTCAGGGGCGCAGTTTAAAAGGGGGGGAATGGGACTCTCAACAAGGCGTGCTCTCTCACATATGAACATTGAGCTTCCTGTTGATTGAAGGAAGATGAGACTCTCTCTCTCTCTGGGTTAAAAATAGAGGGTCTTCTGTTAACATAAAACTTCACAGTCAACTCTCTCGCTCAGTTCGTAGGCTCTCTCTGTCTCACTAATTTTGACAGTAGCATGAACGGCTTTCTCTCGATGAACTGGATGATCATCTCATAACATAATAAAGTGAATGATGGATTTTATTTATATATGTTTTCTCGCTCTCTGATGCTTAACGTTTTTGTCAAGCGGCATGTTTTTAAACGTAATATATTTTTCCATGTGTTTTGTACCTGATAGATATTTGTATTTTATAGATTGGAAAACTAATTTTTAGTAAGAGAGAAGATGTTCCTAATTGATATTCTTTGTAGTATACTAATTGGATGATATATTTTATAGCGAAAGAGAGAAGTTTGCCATCTAATTGATGTTTAATATACCAATTGGATGATGATTTTTGTAGTGAGAGAGATGTTTATTTCTAATTGACGTTTGTGCTACCACACCAATTGAAAAAACATATCAGTATTTTTGTGACTGTGGTTTTGTACAATCTCATGAATGTGCAACTTAAGGACTCAAAATTTATTTTTTGATTTGGTTGTATCCTAATAGTGTACTTGCTGGGATCCGGCACGTTATATTCAATCGAAGGCATTTAATACTTCCAAAAAAAACGAGCTCCTCTCGTGTATCCAAATCCCCCGTTTTTTATCCCATTTTTGAGAGTTCATATCTAACATATTATATTTTTAACCACACCGAGACCCCAACCAACCAACAAAGAAAGATGGCCTTAAATGTGATTTGGTATTTTAATGGGGGTGAAGGAAAAGCTTGGGGTGAAGAAAAAAGCTTAGAATAACGGCTACAAAATGGCAATAGAGTAGATAAAGAACGGAGTAAAATCACACAAATTTTCGAATCTAAAGGGAGATGGTGAAATATCTTCACACGCACGCGCCCTAATGGAAAATTGCTTACACGGCGCTTGTACAAAAGATGCGAGCGTGACTAGCATATTCGCATAAGTCCCTATCACTCGGCTAGGGGTTGCAATGGGCTGCCGGCCTGGCCAGTTTCAATCCGACCCGACCTTATAAGTAATTGTGATCTTATTATGCTAAAGATAAATAGTTTCATTGTATACAACTCCTATTGTTATTTTCAAATTTTTGCATTGTTTTCCTTTGGTTTTATACCCAATGCTGGAAACCCCTAAGAGGAATAAGGCCAGGCTGTCTGGTCCAGTCCAAACCAACCCAGTCCATTGCCAACCATACACCCGGCAAATTACAGCAAGGCCTGGATAGCGCATTTGGCTTAACCACGAATGTGAAAAATGATATACGTGCAGAGCAGGGCACTCTTTGATTTCAAATTTTCTTGTGAGATTGATTGAGAAAAAGATTTGGAAGTAAGGAGGACTTAGAGATCCAATTGAAGGTGATTAAAGTGCATGAAGTAATCAACGGAATGGATAAACGAAATGCGAAGCCATGAACCAAAAAGCTAAGAAAGCGCAAGCAAACTCCATTGAAAACAATATTTTTTTTAAAACTAACACATTTTCACCCCGGGTGTATATTGTAATACATTATCTAGATTATCCATTTCGCCTTAAATGGGGGGCAAGTAACCCGACATCAAAATTCCGGATCAGAACCGTCGATTTCCTGTGTTCGCCCAACTTTTAAAACCTTGGATGCAAATGCGTTGCCTTAAAGAGGGTACGACCAAGTGGGGACTCAATATTCTATTGTAATATGGGATAATAGGGCAATTTTTTCTATTTTTATGAAATTTTTTGAAGTGTTGGATGAGGAATTGTTTGAGAAGGTCGTAGAAGTCTATTTTTGTGGGCTCGAGTTGCCCACGTAATTGCGGACCTTACCCCAAATATGGGTTTGGGATATGCAAAGGGTTGGTTCAGAACTTTGTGAACTCTCATTCTCTTTTTCTCTCTGTAAAAAAAAAATATTATGTTTTTCTCTCTTTAAAAAAACGTCGTCGATAGAAGCCGATTGTTACGGTGCTAGAATCAACTCCTTTTAGAGAGAGAGAGAGAGAGGGAGAGGGAGGAAGAGAGAGAAAAATGGCAGCAGTGAAGGTGTTCGGACCTCCCATGTCCACGGCCGTTGCTAGGGTTCTGGCCTGCCTCTACGAGAAGCAGGCCGAATTTGAGCTCGTACGCATTGATATGTCCAAAGGCCAGCACAAGAAACCTGAATACCTTGCAATTCAGGTTATACTCTCTGCTTAATTTGTTCATTTTCACTGTTCAATTATCGTTGATTGATTATTCGAACAGTTATCTCTTATTCTGGTTAATTCACTCTTCGATTATTTTTTATTGATTAATCGGAAAGTTCCGTCTTCTTTGTAATGAGAATGAAATGGTGTGAAATGACATTCATTTTTGGGGCATTTTGTTGTGTGAATTGATGTAACAGCCCTTCGGCCAGGTCCCTGCCTTTCAGGACGAGAATGTTATTCTTTTGGGTACGTCTCTCCTCTGTTTTTTAAGTCCAATTCGTAGGATAACAATACAAATGAAAAGCTCATTGCAATAGATTTTGAATTTGGGATGAATTTCGTCACTCCAATTAGAATGAAGAGCTAAGATATAAGGAAATTTTATATAAGGTTGCAACCTTAAAATGTAAAATTAAATATACACAAAAGTCCATCATAAAAGGTTGTTTGTAAAAGAAAGACTCACCCAATTCGGAAAACTCTCCGGTTGACATCGAGATGCATGAATATGAAAAGAAAATAAGATTTAGAGTCCTAAAAATAATGCATCTTGCAATACATTATCTGCATTGTCTATTTTTAAGATTTTCATATGTTTATAGATTATTTTATTTTTTTTGGCATGTAAATCTACTTTATTTGAACTATTTTTAGAACTTAAAATTTTATAATTAGAGATAAAAATAGATTCGCAAGCCATTATAAGAATTTTTTATATCAAAATTCCATTTAGGATCAAATTTAGAGGTGCGCCTTGCATTGTTTAAAGTTGCAACCTTATGCAAATTACACCCAAGATATAAAAACCTTTGCTAAATTTATAATGGTCTTTTGACGTTTTGATAGTGATAGTGAAAAAGTAGGGACCAAATGGTATGGGTTCTTGTGCAGTTTTTGTGAGGTTGCAACCTTAAACAATTCAATTAAGGTGCACCTTTAAATTTTATCATGTAATTTTATTGTAAAAAATTCTTAGTATTATCTTAAAATCTATTTTCATACTTAATTAAAAAATTTTAAATTTAAAAAATGGTTAAAATTAAGTAGATCTATAAATATATGAAAATCTTGAAAATGACGGTCTAGATAATGTGTTGCAAGATGCACTATTTTCGGGACTCAAAAACTTCTTTTTTTCATATTCATTGAGATATCGGTTAGAAGGTTTTTTCAACATTAAGACAATATTTCTTATAGATTTTTGAGGTGCATCTATGATTCTACATTTTAAGGTTGCAACCTTATATAAATCTTTCCCGTTTCTTTAACCTTATCTAAAATAATAATATGTATTCGGTCCCTACTAAATCCCCACCCTATAAACTTCTATTTTAATTTTTATTTTAATTTTTTAATTTTTAATTTTTTCTTTTGGATCACCGATCCGGATAATTCGAGAACAATCCGGATCACCGATCCAACTTATTTGAACCAGCGTTGGGGGTGGACAATCCACCCCCACCGATCTTTTTTTTTTTACATTGCTCTCCAACCATACTAACCCTTAGATGCCTGATCCAACCATGTACACTACAATTGATCTCCGGCCATCTGCCGGTGAGAGTGGACAGAGATTAACCTCGAGTAGTGTTTACCTTAATCCATTGGAGTAAGGCATGCTTTCCCAGGCACACGGTAACACACAGGTTTAACACTTAGTTTCAATTTTAAACAGTATGATAGCAGTTCCTAAATCATCTGATGCCAATGGGGACAGTTGAGGAGCGTTGTTGCATCGCTCAAAGTCAAAATTTACTAACGAGCTTTAGTAGGAGGAACCCCACTCATCGACTGTCTGTAATTAACATGGGACGGTTGAGGAGCTGCTAGTATATTGGATATGGACTACTCATTGTTAGCAATAAACGGTTGAGGAGCTGCTAGTTCAGTATTTGAATACCAAATGATATCATAATGTAGGTTCCTCGAGAACCCCTTGCTTGTAGAATCAAGAATCTCAAACATCATGATCCAAATTTAAGATCATGTATATAGTTGGCAAGATGTGAAATATGTAAAGATAATGACAAGAAATTGCAAGCAATAGGGCAAATAAAAACAACACAACAGAGTGACACACAATTTATGTGATTCACTCCATAGGGCTGCGTCCACGCTATGACAAATAAGAATCCGGAAAATATAGTTGTAGTGATTTGGGTATTATTAAGCTTAACAATCTGCACCTTGAAAGCAAAATCACTATATTTGCTTTGTCAACCTGTCTTTGAATAGATTCTTGATTTCTTCTCTCTTGTCTCTATTGTAGAATTTTCACAACTACGAAAACATGAATTGGGCAAAAGGAGATCCAAATGGGCCTGACAACGACAATTCATGAGTTTGATTGTCAAAACTCAAGACCAAAATTACTAATTTTCTTAAAAATCAGACTCACTGGTTTTTTAATACTGCATATTTTGAGAGAGAGAAAGAGAGAGAGAGAGAAAGAGAGAGAGAGAGAGTTCTGCTTATTTGAACTTCAGTTGAGCCACTGGATCATATGTTTCTTTGATCCACCGGATCCATGTATTTTTTATATTTTCATGTGCATATGTAGTAGGTTATCCCCATTTTTTTGTATGAAGGCCACCACTCAGTAGTGGTTTCTACTCCCCCTTGTATACCCATCTTCTTTAATATAGAACGGTTAACAGCTTCAAAAAAAAAAAGAAAGGACCAAAGAATTTCATTTGAGATCATGACTCTTTTTTATCTTGAAGTATGGTTCAAACTTGAAACATATTAGAGGACTCTATCGTACAGGGCCTGTTAATATTATGTGTTTCTTATTGAATTTAAGGGAAATTAGATGGGAATGACAAATACTACAAAATGAGCTGAATTAAGGGGATATGAAATCGAAATGGTAAATAATAGAGAGTACATTTTTAAAATATGATCATAACTGAAGCTGTTTAAAAGGAAGACACACATGAAGATATTGTGATGCTGTGCATCTTTCTATTGATGAGAACTCATTATAGTTTCAAAAAATAACGAATATTGACAAATATGGTGGGCATTGGATGTAATGGAGGCAGAGTCTAGAGCAATATCTCGGTACATAGTTGATAAATACCAGGACCAAGGCACACCAGGCCTCCTCGGCTCCAACTTCATCGAGCGCGCCTCCATTGATCAATGGATTGAAGCCGAGGCTCAAAGCTTCCAACCACCAAGTGGTGCCCTTGTTTTCCAGCTGTTCTTCGCACCCCTGATGGGCCTCAAAACCGACAAAGTCATCATCGACCAAAACCAAGCCAAGCTCGAGAAGGTCCTCGACATATATGAAAAGATGCTTGAAGAAAACCGCTTCTTGGCTGGAGATAGGTTTACTTTGGCTGATCTCACTCACTTACCTAATTGTGAGTATTTGGTGCAAAAGACTGATAGGTCAGGGCTTATACTCGGCCGGAAAAATGTGAGGAGGTGGTGGGAGGAGATTTCTAGTCGTCCAGCTTGGAAGAAGGTAGTGGAGTTGCAGGTTGCTCCTCCCAAGTAGATGATGTGTTTTAAGCGTATTTTTATGGTATTGATGGCGAATTTTCTTCTTCTTTACTTTCATGGATTAGGTCTCTTACCTATGTTCTCAGTTAATAAAAATGCGTTGTAAAAAACCGGCCTAGTCAACTAGACTCACCCAGATACTGAGTGTTTTATATGTAAAACTCGAGTGGAACCAAGTTTTTGGTCATATGTATAGGTTTTTTGTGTTGTTTTGAGCAATGAATACCATCTTATGTTTATAATGTGGTTTGATTTGGTGACATGTTAGGTTCAAATCCTGGTGCAAACACTCTTTCATGTTATTATTTTTACAAATTCGAAGAACTCGTCCGAGTTTCGGAGCACTGGTTGTTCGTGAATGTTCAAGAGAGAAATTACAAATTTGAAGAACTCGTCCGAGTTTCTGAGCACTGGTTGTTCGCGAATGTTCAAGAGAGAGTTTACAAATTTGAAGAACTCGTCCGAGTTTCTGAACACTGGCTGTTTCTTAATGTTCGAGATAGAGAGAGAGAGAGCTGAAGCTTGATATTTTTAGAAGAAGATATAGAATTAGAACTTTTCTAGTCTCACTCATTGTTTAAAAATTTCACCAATAAAGTTTCCGTATCTGAGTATCATAGGGAATAACTTGAGCTATCAATCCAAATGAAAATACATTAACCAAATGGAGGTCTGCAACAAAAGAAAAAAAAGGAACAAAGGAAAAAGGATTACAACAAAGGCTACTCCTGAAGTAGCATAAGGTTGAAGGAAACAGAGGTAGACAATTGTTAATCTGGTTAAGGGTATTGTGGAGTGGTAGTAAGCAGTTGCCGGGCTCGGACCCGAACCTGGAGACGGACGAGAGTGTTCATGCAGTGCATAGCTATCCGAGCCTGCCTCCTCACACACATTCCCCGGACCACTGCCTGCAACTTTACGACCCTCTTCAAACCCTTCAATGCTTGCCTTGCCTAACACCCAACATACAACGCCATAATTCTATAGTTAGTGAGAGAGAGTATTTTGATCACCTTAAGCAAAAGAGACATTACTGCAAGGGCATATTGATTACTACAAGAAGCTTAGTAGGGGCCATGGCCATCTAAGCTAAATGAAATCAAAATGAAATCAGTTAATCATTTAAAGAAATTATCATTATCATCATAGCTTGTTTTTAATTAATTGGGGTTGGCTAATCTAAAGAAAGAATGAAACCAAAAAATTACAAAAAAAAAGTTATCGTCTTTGATGAGGTTCTTTTGCAGCAATTCACTGACGCCCTTTCCCATCTTCAAATGAACATATATTAAAATTTAAAAATGTTGCTCCAAGTCCATGATTGCACGCAGGAAAGAGAAGCTGTTATGCCCAAAAGCCACTACCTATCCAAACGAAGCCTTGGATATTATAGAAGTCGCTGTAATTTTCAAATTCGACATGAAAATAACCAGTATAAATCGCTGAGAGTCAACTGCATTTTGAAGGAATATTATTCTCAAAGAAATTTTAGTGTGTATGGATAATCGAGGGGTTACCAAGTGGCCTCGGAAAAAGGCTTGGATCTTGATCGCAGCCAACTCCTCCTTGGAATATGAAACTATCAGAAGCTCTCCTTTTTCTTCTTCCTCTGCCAAATTCTGCAGATTTCATATTCAATTCGCATTATAGAGAGGCATCGAGATTCGATCGAGAGACACTTCTTAACAAGATAGATAAAGAGAAGAGGAGCTGAGAGAGAGGTTTTAATTTTAGAGATTCTCCCTACCACGATATTGGAATCGGAGGAACGAAGGTTTCTGAACTCATCATCCGTGGTCGCAAGAGATGAAGGTTTGGAAACAGGGGAACGGCCGGCAAATTTTCGGCGAATGCGGTTGAACCAGATTCGACGTTTCCTTGCCATGTCTGATATATGATATGATAGTCAAGGGAAGAATTGGGCTCTGTTTCTTTGAATTTGGAGATGAGTTTGGGGAGGCTTTGATGAAGTGTGAAAAAGAAGAGAGAAGAAAAAGAAAGAGAAGGGCGTGGGCGTAATTTTTTTTAAGAGAACGTGAAGGGAGGGATGTCTGCGCACAGAATGTGGGCTTCAACTTCAAGTTCAAGATTTCAGCGCGATGGACTATTGTCAGGGATTTAAAGTTTACGACAAGAATGGCCCTACATTTTTCTTAAAATGACATTACGCATAGCAAAAGTTTTACAGTGTAATTTTTAGATCTACAATTTTGTTAAAAAGAGGAAAAATGGACCCCAAGAGGCCCAAAATATACATAAAAATAAGGGCAGAGTATAGATCCCCAAATTGGAAACTTGGGTTAAAATTGAGGGAGGGTTTTTTTTTTCAAAAAAAATAATTTTTTTACTTGGGTGGGGGCATTGCCTAAAAATTATAAATGGGATATCTATAATCCCCACTAACTAACCACTTTTTTCACCAAAGGGTAGGCCCAAATCCCCATTTACTTACCACTTTTATTCACCCAAAAAAAACTAAAGAGAGGACAATTGCAGGATTTCTCAATTATCTCCTCTAAAACACAATGTTCATAATCAAATTTGCTCTCTCTCTCCTTCAGTGGAAATCTGCCTCAAAATGCTCAATTTAATCCCCATTGACTTACCACTTTTATTCACCCAAAAAAAACTGGAGAGAGGACAATTGCAGGATTTCTCAATTATCTCCTCTAAAACACAATGTTCATAACCAAATTTGCTCTCTCTCACCTTCAGTGGAAATCTGATCTGCCTCAAAATGCTCAATGTAATCCCCATTGACTTACCACTTTTATTCACCCAAAAAAAACTAGAGAGAGGACAATTGCAGGATTTCTCAATTATCTCCTCTAAAACACAATGTTCATAATCAAATTTGCTCTCTCTCTCACCTTCAGTGGAAATCTGCCTCAAAATGCTCAATTTTCATCTACCTGTCCAAGCATGAAAGCACAGCCAAAATGCTAACTAGGAAGGATACAATTACAAATATACTAAACAAGAATTTGAGCCCATAGACCCATTCCAATGTAAGAGAAGTTTAACTTCAATTAGAAACACGTTTGGTCCACTGCACCGTAGATCTAGGGTTGGGAATACTCTTGGCCCTACACCTAAAGGAGTTTTTTAGATTTTGATCAGATATCTGGTTTGTGTATTACATTTGTTGCCTGGAGTGGCATCCCTAAAGGGACCTGCACTATCTCACTTTCCAATGTTCTTTCCAGAGCTTATGCCCAAGATGTATTGTTCTTAGAATAACTCCAACAATGAGAACCTCATACGGTTTCATCCCACATAATCCCTATTAATCTCCTTTCAGGGCCCGTTTGGGTACTTGGAGAAGCCTGTCCTAGGGATACGCTTTCCTAAAATTAGTTTGTCCCTGGGATAGGGGTGTCTGCTGTTTGGATAGAAACAACACCTCAACTAAATCTCCAAACAAGTCAACCACATTAAATAAGGCATTAAACTCTGTGTCACCTTCAATACCTTCCCCACTTGCCACCCCTAGCACCAAGAGGGAGTAGCAATTGGCTGCCAGTCCCTTGCCTTGCTTCATCACCACAGAAATTGGACCTCAGATATCCCCCAAAACCTTGTAAAGAAGCACTTTATCAGTCAAAAACATGAAAAGCTCTAAATCAGCCAAAAATAAAAATAAAGAAAAGCATCACATAAACAAGAATTTCCTCTTTAGCATCATCGAAAACAAACTCGTGCAAGATGGACCCTGGCAGCTCAACAGATGACCACCATACACACTTCATGCAGCAAATGTGGGGACCATGAAACCCAACCCAGTCCTCTGGTACTGGCTCCTCCCAGTTCTCCCTTTAACACCAACGGTAGATAGGAGCTGAACTGTCTCACGGCGTTCTAAATCCAACTCACGTATCAATTCAATCGGCGAACAACTGAACCCTTGGGACCTTCTTCAACCCCAGGACATGATGAGTCGACATTGAGGTGCCAAATGACTCCGTCGATAAGAGCTCTTGGGAGTTATCACTCCAAACTTTGACAAGGTCAACAAGTAAAGATGCTCAATAAATATACTCAAGATAAGTATATAAGTGGATATGCAAGCATTACACACATTAGTAACAAGAAAATTTTCGTCATAAATCTGACAGTTATGCATACGGCGTGAAGCAAAAGCATGACACTTCCTGGGATGCATCAATGACTTACATACCTCAATAAGAAAAACAACTTCACACCAGTATAATACAAATTACCTAAGTGCTTCTCATGTGCATTCCTGAAACTTTCCATTAAAGATTATTTTGATGAGTAAGAAAAAAAAGAAAAGAAAAATTAAATCAGTCCAGAAGAAGATCCTAATCGTTATTTAGACTATTATCATCATCATCATCATAAGAGATGAAATGTTCAAGGAATCCAGATGGAAATAAACAAGATGGAATCGTTCTGGATGCATCAAAACCACTTGGTAATCAGGCTCATAATACCTTTGAAGGGAGTTCCATGAAGATACCAAAAACATACTACATAAATACATTTCAAACCTCAGAGTAAATGCATACCTGTTAGAAAGCTGTGATCTACTTGGACCACCACTAGGTAAAATGCTTGATACATTTACTTCAAACAAGGATCAGCTTAACCAGGTTTTCACCGCTTTTCCTCGAGCAACAAACCTTCCAACATTAAGTCTGTCCACTTTGAGAGGAGAACCCATCTGAAACATCATCTCTGAAACCAACTTCTTAACAGTCGATTCCCCTCTAACAGAGCTGTGTTTTCCAGTTCCAGTAACAACTGAAACTTCTAAAGGAATAACTGTCCCGTCGTAAAGCCTCTCTTTCATTTCTTCAAACCATTGCAGAAGGATCACATATGCAGCACCAGTGTGCATCCCGTGCAAATCCAATCTCCATTCCTCAGAAGCCCAATTCACTGACCCTAATTGTATCACTGAGCTTAGAAACTCCTGAATAACAAATAGCTCTTTTGGTGTGGACAAATTTAGGAGCTCCAAGAGTTCATTAATTGACAAAGGAACAGTTTGAGGCTGCTGCACAATAGAAAGAATAGTAGGGCAAGAATTCACAACAGAATTGTATGTCCTAATTGAGAAATCTACATTAAGAGAAGCCATTTTCTTAAGCCAAGAAACCATTTTGGAATACTCCATAAAAGACCCATATGAGGAAAGAATAGTATTTGCTGTAACTGTATCGATAGAATAACCCAGATTCTCCATCAATTCAAGAGTTTTCTCCATTTCAGGGAAAAACCCACATCTACCATATGCAAGTATCAGAGACCTAAACTCAAATGGCGAAGCTTTGAAACCTGAAGCCATCATCTCGTCAAGCATTTCATTTGCATGGTGGGGAAGATTCATCAGAGAGAAGCCATTAATTATAGACTTATAAGCAAGCGCATCACCTGACCTATATGGGAGTTTCTTCAAGCTTGAATATGTTTCAAGAACCTGATTTTTCAGTCCATGTTCAGAGTAAGAATCAATTAGATTGCAGTAAAAAGTAGCCAGGTCCCTTGGGCCTAATTTTTTTATAGTTTCTGAGCCAAGTAGGGATAATGCTTCTTCTCTTTGTTCGTATTTCTCAAGCAAACCAATCAGGCTGGCTATCAATTTCCCATTCCATTTATACCAAGGGGCTTCACTGATTATCTTGTACATCTGCAACATTGCAGATACCCCAAATGTTCATCAAAATCATCATCATAACCAACACCTTATACAACAAATTAAAAATATTACCCCAGAATTCATAAGGCAAAAAGATAAGAAACCCATATAGGAAAAATTACATTTTTAAAGAATTCTGAAAGAGAAATGAAAAATCAAATTCCTGGGGAAATTTTTCGTACCAGAGGCATATCCATAAACTACCACCAAACCCATGTTCAAATCTTCAGCTTCATTTTTAGGTTGCTATATTAGCCAGTTATTGCCTGAATAAAATAATAAAAAGAACCTATCTTCAACCTCGAACCTATAGGAGAACATGCAAGGCCCTTGTGAAAAAGAGAAAACTCAATTTCCATCTTTCTCTGACACCATTTACAATCCAAAATAGACCCACCATACCCTCGCTTGATTTCCAAGAATTCCATCAGTTCAATTGATATTAAATGAATTTATCCGAACTGAATGAATGGGATCCTTTTAGGCTAAATTCAGATAAAAATAAATATCACATCAAATAATAGAAGCAGTTCAGTTCAGACAATCCAACTCAAATTGAATAATAAAAGCTACCCATTTCCTCCATCTAATTCATGGGGGGTGATAATAAATCTAGAAAATAGGAGAAAACATGATTTTGTGACATGAGATAGATAAGCTAAACTCACAGGAAGAGCAACGGCCCATTGGTGAGAAGAGAGGAGATGGTGAAAAGCTTCAAGCTGCAAAGCCTTGGAAGAGGACCCAGAGAATTTGCAGAGAAGGCGACGCACAGCTAATGGGTCACCTCCTGTGACTTCAATGGAGCGAAGAAGCCGCTCTTTCCTCTTACTCAAAGAAGAGGAGGCATGACAACACAGTGTGGTAGTTGGCTTTAGAGTTGCAGGCGCGGAGAGTCGCAAGAGAATCCACATTCTTGTCTGCTGTCCTTCTTCCTCGCTCTTCCTGTGTGACTCCCAACTATCGGTTTTTGTTGTCGAGTTTCACTTTTTTGGCTACCTCTATCATTGAGAAACAGGCATGGAAGCGGCACTAGATGTCCGAGTTGGAGTTCGCGTCCGAATTGGAACGCTGGATAAGGACGAGTACAAAGATTTATGTATTTAAACGTATATGATTTATGTATAGCTGTAATATTTATTAGTAGAAGTAAGACTAAAATGTTTATATTGTAGGTTTTAGTCAGAAGATGTAGATTTGATATGTCATTCAAATTTGAGAATCGTGAGAACTAGGTTTTCTTCGCATCAGATAAAGACTGGGGCATCTCGTTACATATTATGTATTTGGGAGGATATTGTGTACTTGGGAGGAGAGAAAGAGGGGAGAGACATGAAAAACATAGAAAGAGAGAATGGGATGAGAGAGAAAGATTGGGGGTCTTTGTGTATCATATATGGGAGGAGAGAGAGGGGGAGAGATGGGAAATATGGAGAGAGAAACGGAAGAGAGAGAGTGAGAAAGACCAAGGCATTTCCCTGTATATTGTGTATTTGAGAGGAGAATGGGAAGAGAGAGATAGAAATATGGAGAGAGAATAAAAGGAAAGAGAGTGAAAGGGAATGAGAGAGATAAAAAATATAAGTGAGAGAAAATGGGAGGAAAGAGAGTGAGGGGCAATGGGAAGCGAGAGGAGAGAGATGGAAACATGGAGAGAGAGTGAGAGAATGAGGGAGAAAGGAAATATGGAGAGAGAATGAGAAAGAATGAAGGAGATGGAAAATATGGAGAGAGAAGACAAGAGGAAAAAGAGTGAGGGGGGAGCGGAAAGAGAGAGAGTAAGAGGAGAGAGATGAGAAAGATTGAGAGAAGGTGTATAAGGAGGGAGAAGAGATAGGAAATATGGAAAGAGAATGGGAGGAGAGATAGTGAAAAAGATTGAGTGTTTTTCTGTTTATTATGTATTTGAGAGGAAAAAAAGGGGAGAGAAAGAGAAGAGAGCGATGGAAAACATAAAGAGAGAAAATGGATGGGGAGAGAAGGGAGAGATAGGATATATGGAGAGAGAGAAAACGGGAGGAGAGAGTGAGGCGAGAGATGAAATCGATGGAGAGAGAGGGAAGGGGTGTAGGGAGAAAGGGAAAAAAAGAAGTTTGGGAGGATGGTTTTCAAAAAAATATACGTTTTTTTAGATTTATTTGACCTAAAAAAACATGTTTAAATTAATTCAAGAGGTTAGAGGAAATAAAATATACAATTTTTATGACGTAAGATATCTTTTAAAACTTTGGATCTATTCTGAAACAAAACCTAAAAATAAAGAGTACGAAGATATTTTCTCTTGAAAAAAAAGAATGTAAATGCATGAGTTAGGTTATAGAAGTAGGGAAACAAGCAATTAGTCCCACATCAATGAGACAAAGGAAGGAGGAGGAGGAGGAGACGGATTGTAAATATGATGATAGGGAGAGTGTGGAAGCATCCTTACGTGGACGGAGTCAAATCGGTGATCACAAAGGCCAATGGCGTAGGGTGGCTGTCCTCATTGCACTTAGAAGATGGGTCACCTTAGCATCTCCCCAACTGTATAATTAAAAGTAACTTTTATCATAACAAATGTTTGTATGATAGAGTTTCTATTTTCTATTTGCATGTATTCATAAAGCCTCACCTCAATTCATATGCTTCAGTATAATTAAAAGTAACTTTTATCATAACAAATGTTTGTATGAGAGTTTCTATTTTCTATTGCTTGTAGTCATAAAGCCTCACCTCAATTCATAAATAAATTGTAATTTTGGCAATAGAAAACCTTTAAAAATCAGTCATCTTGACATGAATATTATAGTTGTGAAAAAAAAAGAAAAAAAGAAAAAAAGGAGTTAATGGTTGTGAGAAAAGAAGAAGGAAGACGACTAAAAAACGAATCGTCTTGACTTTGGTTGTGAAAAAAAAATGGGTTCAAGCTCTAAAAATAATATATATTGCAACAAATTTTCTAGATCATTCATTCGCCCTAAAAATAAATTTTCATGGATCCGTAAGATCTGTATCATTTTTTGAGGGAAATTAATTTTAGAGCCTTCATAAAAACTTATGTTCCCGAAAGTGCTTTTAGAATGACGATTTGAGGTAAGGCGTTATTTTATTTATGTAAAGCCTCGGCCTTATATAAGCCTCATCTAAAAGTAATTTCCAACACATACATTTTTAGTTTTTCGTAAAGCCTCACCTCAAATCCTCACCCAGAAAGCATTGGCTCTAAAATTAATTTCCAACACTGACAAAAAAATTTGATATTGAAAAAATGGTACAGTTTTTGCGGATCTGTGAACCCTTATTTTTCGGAATACTTATTTTTAGGGCTAAATGAATGGCCTAAATAATTTGTTGCAATCTGCACTGTTTTTAGATTTTAAACTCCAAATTTATTTGAACTACCATAATGTTCAAGCTGAGATGATCAATTTGAAGGTTTTTCAACACTTAAATTGCAATATTTTATGAGTTATGAGGGGAGGCTTTACTTATTTATATTTTCCAAATATAAATATGGTTGAAATTGTGTAATACAAAGTTTACATATCAAATACAGTAGTAGTCTAATAGGGGTTAGGGCATACTATCATTTAGGAAAATTTTATCGTTGAGAATGCCAGTTCATGGACTGTTGTGTTGGTTATGGGGATTAGTAGACGAATTGCTCTGTTTATTCATGAAATGCTATGTTCAGGAATAAGTTTCCTAATGTTTTAGGACCACATATATTTTGTAGCATCACTATTGATGAATTGGTGTGCACACACCGTCGTGCTAGAATTGCATCATTGTTGATGAACTAGTGTGCGCACCATTGTCCATGAACAGGACCGTCGTGCTAGAATTGCATCATTATTTCGGTATTCAAAGTCTATTATTTTTATTGTACTCATCTACTAATTCCAATGTGGTTCCCAAAAAAGTTAGAGACCAAGAAGATCCTCCTAAGTTGGCTATATACCGAATGAAATAAATGTTAATTTGCCTTCCAATGGAGCATAGTATAACAACTGACATACCATATATATGGGAAAAGTTTATATAGAGCCAAGGCTCTAAACAATCAAATTCAAGCCTACCTCAAAATTTTCACTAAAAGAGATTGTTTTGATGCCTAAAATTATGGCAAATATTAGAATCTCATATTTTCCAAAACTTGCATAGAATAGGAAAGGATCCGGTTTCTATGCGGCCAACCTCAAAATTTTGAAAAAGGCTCGTATGACAATAATTGTAATACTTCTAAACCAAATACTATTATCCAATGATTTAAAAAACGGATTACTATTTTCTAGTGATTTAAACAACGGATTGGTGGCCCGGATAGTGCATCGTCGGGCATCGCAAAAACGAATATGGATTAGTGGCCCGCATCGGGCATCGCAAAAACCAATACTGATCGATGATATACAGATCGATGACTAAAAAAAACGGATTACTATTTTCTAGTGATTTAAACAACAAATTGGTGGCCCGGATCGGGTATTCCAAAAACCGGATCGCCAAAAAAAAAAAAATACACATCGCCAAAAACGAAAAACAAAAGCAACACCATTTTGAAAATAGCATTGACTAAATTACCTTCAAAGAAGTGCTATTATTCATACTACCTAACCTAACCGAGAAGAATCTAATGAAGAAAACCAAGTGCTATTATTCATACTAACTACCTGGGCGAGAACAATAAATTGAGGCAAACATTATCATGTTGAGCCTTCATCTTTACAATGTAATCGGACGAGGCAGACATGATTGTTGTCGAAATTTCACATTCTGAAATGGTGGGGGCCGCGCGAACGCGTACCCCCCTATCACAAATTATGACGTGTACTCTCCTACTCAGAGGAGATACTAAGGTTAGCCATCTCCTAAGTGCAATGGAGACAGCCACCCTAGGCCATCGGCCTTTCTGAACGCCGATTGACCCCGTCCAGGTAAGTATGCCTTTCATTATCTCCTACCTTCCATTTTATAGTCTCTCTCCTCCTCCTCCTTCCCATCCCTCATCGATGTGGGACTAATCTAATTGCTTCTTTCCCTCCCTCTATAACCTCACTCACTCACTCACTCACTCATCATATATCCTCCTCTTCTACCCCTTTCCCTATTCCCCTTCCAATGCCCACAACTATGTATTTATATTCGTTTATTACTTATAATATGAACCAATATTCTCAATAAATTTTATTATTTTTTTGGGAAATTTACTTAAAAGATTGGTTTGTTTTAGGAATTTAAAAAATGGGAAAATTTATATAGAGCCGAGGCTCTAAACAATGAAATTTGAGCCTACACAAAAATTTCACTCGTAGAGGTTGTTTTGATGCCCAAATATCTTCAAATTGGTCATCTTGACATCAAGATGCATGGACATGAGAGAAAATTAGAATTCAAGTTTTGAAAATAGTGTATTTTGTAATGCATTTTTTTACCGTCAATTTTCAAGATTTTCATAGATTTGTCGATCTACACTATTTTTGAAGCTTTAAACTTTACAAATAGATTTGAAAATATATTTTAAGTCTATCACAAAGATTTATAAGATTGAAACCACATTTGTCGACACTATTTGAAGGTACTCTCTAATTTGATTGTTTAGAGCTTCAAAGGAATCTTTTGTAAACGACATGAATGATGCGATTCAGAATGTCGCTCTTCCTATCTGTATTGGAGGTGACTTCAATTTAATTAGGTGGCCTGATGAATGTTTGGTTGATGTTTCAATAAACTTCTTGATGAGGCTCTTTAATAATTTTATTGAAATTAGTTCTTTTTTGGACTTACCGATTGTTGGTACCAAGTTCACTTGGTCCAACAACAGTACCATTTCCCTGTTTATGTTAGATAGGTTTTTGGTCTATGCTAATTGGGTGTATTTATTCCCTTTGGCCTCTGTACGGGCTATCCCACGACTTTCGTCTGACCATACTCTTATTTTCTTATATTCTACTATAGATAGAGGTGGTCCGAAGCCCTTTAGACTTGACTTAGTTTGGCTCGAGGATCAAGTAGTGATTGATCTTATTACCTCTACTTGGCAAAATACAATTTCCTATGGCTCTTTAAATTTTCAGCTTCATAAGAAACTTCTCAATATCAAGCATAAACTTCTTAGTTGGAAAAAAGAACATTATGTTAATGCTTCATTGAAAATTGATGAATTGCTTATCGAGGTTGAAGCATTGGATTTTCAGATCCAAACCTATTGTACCTTGTTTACAAAGCTTTTG